ATCGTCATACTGTTGTCTGTGTCTATGAGGTTTTTTCTTTGTTTAATCCCTTCACCTTTTCACCCAGCCCTCCAAATGCCTCTCCTCAAACAGCTGCCGGTCTGTTCTCTGTATCTATGAGTCTGTTTTTATTTTCTTTGTTAGTTTATTTTGTTCATTAGATTCCACATGTAAGTGAAATTATATGGAACTTGTTTTACTCTGACTGGCTTATTTCCCTTAGCATGATACTCTCCAGGTTCATCCATGCTGTCCCAAAAGGTAAGATTTTCTCTTTTATATGGCCGTGTAGTATTCCACTGTGTAAATGGACCACAGCGTTTTTATCTACTCATCCACTGGTTGGGCTGCTTCCAAATCTTGGCTATCGTAAATAATGCTGCAATACATCAGTGTTTCCAGTTTCTCTGGATATATCCCCAAAGTGGGATTACTGGGTCATGAGGCAGTTCAATTTTTAATTTTTTTAATTGATTTTTAGAGAGAGAGGAAGGGAGAGGGAGAGAAGCATCCATGTGAGAGGGAAACATCGATTGGCTGCCTCCTGCATGCCCCCTACTGGGGATCAAGCCCAAAACCTGGGCATGTGCCCTAATGATGCCCAGCTACTGAGCCACATTGGTCAGGGCCCATTTTTAATTTTTTTAGGTAGCTCCATATTGCTTTCCACAGTGGCTGCACCAATCTGCATTCCCACCAACAGTGCACAAGGGTTTTCTTTTCTCCACATCCTCATCAACACTTTTGTTTATTGATTTTTGGATGATAGCCATTCTGATAGGTGTAAGATAATATCTCATTGTGGTTTTCATTTGCATCTCTCTGATCATTACTAGCACTGAGCATCTTTTCATATGTCTATTGGCCATCTGTATGTCCTCTTTGGAGAAGTGTCTATTTAGATCCTTTGCCCATTTTTTAATTGGATTGTTTGGTGTTTTGGTGTTGAGTTGTATAAGTTCTTTATAAATCTTGGATATTAACACATTATCAGATGTATCATTGGCGAATATGTTTTCCCATTCAGTGGGTTCCCTTTTCATTTTGTTGATGGTTTCTTTTGCTGTGCAAAAACTTTTTAGTTTGATGTAGTCCCACTTGATTATTTTTCTTTTGTTTCCGTTGACTGAGGAGACATATCAGAAAAAATATTGCTACAAGAAATGTCTGAAATTTTACTGCCTATGTTTTTCTTCTAGGATTTTTATGGTTTCAAGTCTGACATTTAAGTCTTTAATCCATTTTGAGTTTATTCTTATATATGGTGTAAGAAGGTGGTCTAGTTTAATTTTTTTTGCATGCAGTTGTCCAATTTTCCCAACACCATTTATTGAATAGCCTATCTTTACCCCATTGCATGTTTTTGCCACCTTTGTCAAATATTAATTGACCATAAAGGCATGAGTTCATTTCTGGACTCTCTATTCTTTCCTATTGACCTATATGTCTGTTTTTATGCCAATACCATTCTGTTTTGATTACTGTGGCCTTGTAGTATAGTTTGATATCAGGCAGCATGATTCCTCCAACTTTGTTCTTCTTTCTTAAGATTGCTGTGGCTATTTGGGGTCTTTTGTAGTTCCATATAAATTTTTGGAATATTTTAGTTCTGTAAAATACGTCTTTGATATCTTGATAGGAATTGCGTTGACTCTATAGATTGCTTTGGGTATTATGGACATTTTAATGATGTTAATTCTTTCTACCCATGAATAGGGTGTATGCTTCCACTTATTTGTATCTTTTTTTCTTTTTTTTAATCCTCATCAGAGGATATTTTTTCCATTGCTTTTAAGAGAGAGTAGAAGGGAGAGAGAGAGAAAAAAAACATGGATGTGAAAGAGACACATTGATTGGTTGCCTCCTGCATGTGCCCCAATTGCAGCCAGGGATCGAGCCTGCAACTAAGGCAGGCACCCTTGGCCCAAATCAAACCAGGCACCCTTCAGTTCGCATGCCAGTGCTTTAACCACTGAGCAAAAACGGCCAGGGCTATTTGTATCTTCTTCTGTTTCTTTCTTCAGTATTTTATAATTTTCCAAGTACGAGTCTTTTACCTTCTTCGTTAAATTTATTTCTAGGTATTTTTTATGCAATCTTAAATGGGATTGTTTTCTTAGTTTTCCTTTCAGACAGTTTATTATTGCTTCCTATGGGCTGCTTCTGGGCAATGACTGAGTGTGGCAGAGAAACTAAGGCTCATTCCTGGGAGATGCCAGATTCCTCTGACAGGTGACTTGGAGAAATCCCAAACAGCCTTGTCAGAGTTTCCTTAGAACTGCACTGAAGTGTAAGATGCTTCCATCCAATCTTCCTTTCTTCATTTCTTCACTTGGGGGTCAGACTTGCATTGTAGTCTCTACCAGACTCCTTATTTGCCTCCCCATTTTCTCTCATAGACATTTCCTCTAATAAATTTCTTGCACAGATAATCTTGTCTTGCATCCATTTCTCAGGGACCCAGACTAATACAGTGGTACTAGAAGTGGTCCAAGAAAATACGTGGCAAGATAGGAATTTAGACTGGCTCATCTACTGCCCACCAGGCAAAGAGGATGACATCTTGGTTAGTAGGGGGGACTTAGGTAGTTCCTGGCACAAGGTGGTGGCTCAACTGCTAAAGATTTCACCAGTGTTAACCTGAGAAAATGTCCCAGTGGAAGGGAATGCTGTGGTAGATGTGATTATGCAAGCATTTGAAAAACATGGAGGGAACAGTAAAAGTGGATAGTTACCACTAAGCTGTATTGATGTCCTATATTGAAATCATGAGAGACTGAAGGCCATTAACAACAAGCAGTTTTTGGCTAAGTGAGAGAGCCATAAGGCCTTTGGGATAGCTTACAAAGAGACCTTTATCTCAGTCAGGGGAAGGGAATACACAGCTGAGTGGCAGAATGAAGACCTAATTGTTAGAGTAGCAGAGCTCCAGAGACATTAGAATGCTCAGCTAAGGCAGGTCTGGAATGGCCTTCCAAAAGCATTGAAGTACAGTACAGAGGGATCAGTCTGGATGGATGAGGTGCCCTTCTTCAGGACACAGTATATGTATTAAATCAGAGACATCTTTATGATGCTATGTCCTGAATAGAAATAATACATAGGTTGGGGAACCAAGAGATACAAGCAGGTGTGCCCCACTTACTGTCACACTCAATGCTGCGCTGAGGGATTTTGTGCTTTCTGTCCTCAGAACTCTTGACTCTGCAGGGTTAGAGGTCCTAGTCCCCAAAGAGGCCACACTTTTGCCAAGAGATACAGCAAACATTCCATTGAATTAAAAGCTGCAGCTGCTGCCAGCGCACTTTGAAGTTTGTATCCAGGAACCAGCAAGGAAAAAGAATCACCATCCAGTAACCATGAATGGACATAGGAAGCAACCCTGGACTGAAAAAGATATTGCCAATGGTTCAGACCCTTCCAGAATAAAAGTTTGGTTCAGATCACCAGGTAAGCCACCAAGGCCTGCCTAGGCAATTGCTGAGGATGAGGGGATTTGAGAATGAAAGAGGGAGAGGATACATACTAGGTGTGGCACTGAGATCAACTGCAACAACCGAGTTTGTTTCACTAACGTCCTCTTTTGAGTTCCCTCTCAGGAAGAAAGCACACAGGAACCAGGGAGGAACTGCTTCCCAAACCTGCACAGAGAGGTCCATCTGTGTGGGGCAGCAGGTAGACTTTGATGGCCATGAGAATGCACCTCTCAGATTTTCAACTACAAGGAGTGTAACTGACCAAGGGCCCCAGCTGCTGCTCTCTGAAATCTATGGCTGGATTCGCTCTGAGTCCATGCATCCTGCAGGCTTCTCCAGACAATGACTATGTGGCAGGGAAACTGAAGCAGGCCCCATCCTGGAAGATATGGGACTCATCTGGTAGATGGTTTTGCTCAAAGACTCCCTGAAGGTCTTGTTCAATTTTCCTTAACCTGCTCTACAGACTAAGATTCGTCCACTGAACCTGCCTTCATCCTTCCCTCTCTCCTTCACTCAGGGAAGATTTACCTTATAACCACAGTTTGAAGGCTCTCCTAGACTCCTCTGGCTCTCTTCCCATTTTCTCTCACAGGCATTTACCCTAATAAATTTCTCACAAATTCATCCCTACCTGGGCATCAGCTTCTTGGAGGACCTGGATTGAATACCTCTCCTAAGCCCCCAGTTGTCAGTGATAACTTTCTGCTTTGAACTCTTATAACACTTCCCCGGGCCACTCACCTGACTCTTCCAAATGCTACCTAGAAAATAAAATTTATCTGTTTATTTAGCTATTGAATTTGAGAGAGAGAGAGAGGTCCATTTGTTGTTCCACTTATTTATGCATTCATTTATTGCTCCTTGTATGTGCCCTGACCGGGGATCAAACCCACAACCTTGTTGTATCAGGACAATGCTCTAACCAACTGAGCTACCTGGCCAGGGCTAAAATTTATCTTTCTATGTACATATTTTCCCAATTAGTTTAGAAGTCTTTTGGAGATAGTCACCATTATTATTCTTGCAAACCTCTGCACTTCGCCAAGTGCCCTGCACATAGAAGGAGCTCAGTTCAACCATCACAGGAAAGAAGTTGTCTGGGGTGCTGAGCTGTTCAAACAATCCTGCACCCCAGGGTTCTTGTTTCCCACTTCAGTTTCCTAGTGTATTATCTCTCCACTCCCCAAGTCCCCTACTCAAAATGGTTCCCCATTCTCTTGGGTCCTTTAATCCTCAGTTCCCTGCCTCACTCTCAATACATTTTATCACACACATTGGCTCAGTAGAGAGTATGGCATGAATAGTTATCAATTAAAAGTTTGTCACGCCCTGTTCTGTAGTGTGGAGTTGTTGCTGGAAAGTGGTTGGCCAGCAGGAACTGCAATGTCAAGCTTGTCCCTCTATCCAGGAGTAGCTGGGGTATTTCAGAAGCAGGACTCCTGTTCCACTTGTCTCCTCCCCATTCTCCAGTCAAATACAGAGGATTCTAGGGATGGTGAGGTCACAAGATGAAGAAGCCTGGGTCCCTGAGCCACCATGTGGAGGAAAGCTGCACATCATGTGGAGGAACACTTACACTGGAGTGCTATATGAGTAAACAGCAAGCTTCTATTATGTTAGGTCACTGAAATTTGAGGGTTTGTTTGTTACAGTTGCTAGTATTATTCTAAATAACACAGAAAGCATGCCTTTTTTTGGGGGGGGGGCTACTCACCATATTAACTCCCTTTCATTTGGGAGTCTTCCATTTTGGGACTCTTAATGTCAAGCAGGTTAGATTCTTCTTATAATAGGGTTTGGGCATGTTACTTAGTCTCTGGTAATCTGATGCTTACCAGTCAAGACTCTAAATGTGGAAGTAATGCAAAGATACATGACAATATAAAAACTATTCACAGTGGTTATGTTACATTGAGAATGTAGGGGCAGTGACAGCAAGGCCAGGCAGCAGTGGGTTTAGGTCAATGTACTAACCAGAGTGTTCTTGTGGCACGACCTTGGCTGTGTTTTTCTGTTTCTAGATTCACTTGCTTTTTGACTTTTCATCTTTCTGGACAATTCCTTCCAATAATTAATTTTCTTCTTTATAGATCCAGAATCAGTTTCCATCTACATTATCTTTCCCATCTACACTGAACTCTCCTCCCAAACTAGACTCAATGGGATTACCATTTATTAAGCACCTACTGCACACCCAGCACTGTGGTAGACACTTTACATATGCCATCATACTTAATCATTCCAACTATTCTATACTGTCAGTAGTACTATTGCCGTTTATAAATGGAAAAGTTGCAGCTCAAAGAGATTAACTGATTTTCCCAGTCACACTGCTTGTGCCACTTGGAATTCAGTTTTGATGACATCAAAACATGTTTTTCATTGCACCAGAAACCCTTCACCAACTCTTAATTATGGCAGTGCTTCTTTCTAGGGCCTCTTCTAGTCTATGACTGTTTGATTCTGTGAGTAAGGACTATACTTATATATACTTAATCCCTTTCTACTTATAAAAAGAGTTGTAAAGAAAGTTCTGTTTTTGTACCTGTTTTCTAAGTGTTCAAACAGTATGTGTTTTTCTTGTCCATTTTTGTGCTTCCCTGTCTCCTTTCTTGTTTTTTCTCTTATGCTCTCTCCTTTCCTTTCTCCCCTTCCTACTCCCTTCCTCCTTTCCTTCCTTCCTGACAAAATAACAAACCCTCTGCACTGCACTGCAGTCTAAGATGCTTCTTCCCAAACTTCCTTATTTCTCTCATCCACTCAGAGTCACACCTTCACCAACTGCAAAGGTTGAAATTTGGGGAAAGTTGAATGGGATGAACCAGTTCCTAGTTAACTTTATTTATTTATTTATTTAAATATGTTTTTATTGATTTTAGAGAGAGGAAGGGATAGGGAGAGATAGAAACATCAATGATGAGAGAGAATCATCAATCAGTTTCCTCTTGCGTGCCCTCCACTGGGGATCGAGCCCACAACCCAGGCATGTGCCATGACCAGGAATCAAACCGTGACCTCCTGGTTCATAGGTGGATGCTCAAGTGCTGAGCCACCCCGGCTGGGCAACTTTATTACTTTTGATGTTCCCAGTAAGTATGTCTCAAATGTCAGCAATACTCTCAGGAAACTATAGGTTTTCCATGCTCCAGGAGGAAGCTGCCTCTAGTGATGGACCTGGGGGTCAGATAATTCCATTTTCCCAGAGAAACTGGAGTAGGGAGAAACAAAGTTCATTCAGTGATTGAATACTTTTAATGTGTCAGAATCAGAGAAATAGAAATATATATATACAAATTACAGAATCCCTACCCTAAACAAGTTTATAATCCAGGAGAGTCATATGTGAATAAGTTTTCCCATTTTCTAGTTGTTAACCTGAGTTGTTTTAGAACAGCATACCAAATGCTTAAAATCATCCATTATAATAGAAGTAATTATGAAATTAGCACAATTCATATAGCCTTTTAGATTTATACAGGAATTTTTTTTAAAAAAAGGTGTAATAAAAAATGAGTTAGGAGGAGAGACTACTAATTAAAAAAGAAACATTTCTTAATCTAGTACCATGATGCTTGTCTTAGTATTTTCTAAGCAGAGTTGGAAGGGAGCTCAGAAGGAGGGTGTGGGAAAAAAGAAAATGTATTTCTTGTGTCTTGGCTGCATTTTACCTTAAATTCAACTCAGTGTCCAGAAATGGAGAAAATCACTACGGTTCTTTTGGTTGAAATGGGAAAGGGCATTCTTGAGGGTGGTAGATTCAGTCTATTCAGAAAGCAATACTGGAACTGTTCTTGTGAGCTCAAGGACTCTTTCTTCAAATTCATATCCTTTTTCAAATCTTCTACTAACCCAGTTAGGTATACCCAGTATATCACAGTTCTGAACACATACATCCCAAACCCACGATCAGGTATAAGGACAAACAGAATTGGAGTGTAATGTGGTGGGAAGGGTGAAGTCAGCAAAACCTGAACATGTAATTTTAATGCAACATATCAAGCAGATACTCAAAGTGAGGCCAGTAAGCCAGGGCAAGCTGAATAAAAAAAATGAAACAGATAGTTAAACAGCAGTTTGCAGCCATCTAATAAATCCTATCTTCACTAAACCAGGGACACTTGAGAGGAAACGGTTTACACTTCTCCTCAACCAGAGGGCAAATAGTTTAAATCATCCTACTCAGGGAGACACAGCAGAAATCCAATAGTGCCATTTGCCAACCACACCCACAGACAGATGAAGTTAAGAGAATAAACCTCATTTTGGCACATCAGCATAAAGCTGATGAATATTCTATTGAGATCCTCCCCTAAGATCTCCCCTAAACATTCAGGCTTTATTTTCTTTAAATATATTTTTATTGATTTCAGGGAGAGGAAGGGAGAGGGAGAGAGAGAAACATTGCTGAGAGAGAGTCATTGATCTGCTGCCTCCTGCATGCCCCTTGTTGGGCATCATGCCTGAAACCTGGGCATGTGCCCTGACCGGGAATCGAACTATGATCTCCTAGATCATAAGTGAATGCTCAGCCTCTGAGCCATACCGGTTGGGCAACACCCAGCCTTTAAAACCCCTCAAAATGAAGGTCTAGCAAACCCTCTCCTTCCCAGGAGCATGCCTTTGCCTCCCTTCCTGTCCAACTCCCCACTTTTTCCCCCCACAGGCATTCATCTCCTAAATGCTAGGGGACTACCTGAGGCTTGCAACCAGGACAGCAATGGACAGCAGCAGCAGCTCATCCCAGGGAAAGCTCCTTAACCTGTTCCCGAGGGCCTCTTTTCCCTGACTTCTTAGTAAGCCAAAGCAGGCCAGCCTAGGCTAATTTCCCCAGCCCTTCTTTTTTCATTGTCCCCAGCTTTATTTTTATTTTTTAAAAAAATATATCTTTATTGATTTCAATGGGAGGAAGGGAGAGGGAGAGAGAAAGATAGAAACATCAATGATGAGAGACTCATTGATTGGCTGCCTCCTGCACACTCTCGACTGGGGATCGAGCCTGGAACCCGGGCATGTGCCCCGGCCGGGAATTGAACCCTGATAGCCTGGATCCTAGGTTGACGCTCAACTGCTGAGCCACGCCCAGCTGGGCCAGACATATTTTAAAAATTTTAAAAAAGAGGCAGATCACAGACATGGAGACACCAGGAAGAGGCCATGTGAAGATGGAGGCAGAGATTGGAATTATGCTGCCATATGCCATGGAACCCCAGAAAGCACCAGAAGCTGGAAGAGGCAAGAAAGAATTCTCCCCTAGAGCTCTTGAAAGGAGAATGGCTCTGCCCACACTTATTATTATTTTTTTAAACACTTATTTTGGACTCCAGGCCTCCAGAACTGAGAGAATAAATTTTTGTTGTATTTAGGCATCACTTTGGGGTAATTTGTTATTGAAGCTCTAGGAGATTAATACGCCTCGTATGATTTTTGTGACTTCTGCCAGCAACTGTGGGCAGTCTGTGAACAGAATTGGAGTGATCCAAAAGAAAGGGTGACTCAGGATTGGGCCTTAGCATGGAGATACTGATGGAAATTCAGAGGGTCAAGAGAGGACAGAATGCTAGAGTAGGCAGAGTTTAAATACTGATACTAAGGGAATTAAAGTTATATTGAGGCCCTGGCTTGCATGGCTCAGCAGTTAGGGCGTCGGCCTGCACACTGAAGGGTTGTGGGTTCGATTCCTGGTCAAGGGCACCTGGGTTGCAGGTTGGACCCCCCAGCCCTGGTTGGGGCGTGTTCGGGAGGTAACTAGTCAGTGTGTTTATCTCACATCGATGCTTCTCTCTCTCTCTCTCAATCTCTCTCTGTCTCCCCCCTCCCTTCCTTCCCCTCCTTTCCACTCTCTAAAAATCAGTGGACAAAATATCTTCTGGTGAGGATTAAAAACAACAAAAAATAAAAAAATAAAAAGTTATATTGAGGGGCCAGGGGAAGGGGGCAAAGGTGGAGGGAAATGGGGGACACCTGTAACACTGTCAACAATAAAAAATTTAAAAAAGATTATATTGAGGGCATGGACCAGATGCAGTACGAAGAAAGTGTGTGGGAAAGGAGGTGGTAGAGAGAAACTCCAGGTTTCAGCTCCTGGAAATGGAGCAACTTTTAGTGATTGTTCGCCCAGTATGTGGGTGGCTGAAGTGGGACAGAGATAAAAGTCCTTCACGTTGAGGAAGCTGAAGCATTCTGAAGACAGGAAGTCAGGGGATATCAGCATGAAGTCTGAATGGACTCTCTGAGAATGGTGGTGGGAGGCAGATGTGATGGTTGATTTTGTGTTAACTTGATTGGGCTAACAAATGCTCAGGTAGCTGGTAAAAATTTGTGGGTATGTCTCTGGAAGAGATTAGCATTTGAGTCAGTAGACAGAATAAAAAGGACCACCCTCGCCAATGCAGGTGGGCATTATCAATCCATTGAGGGCTTGAATAGAACAAAAAGGCGGAGGAAGGACTTTCTCTGTTTGAACTGAGACATCCATCTTATACTGCCCTTGGACAAATATGCTCCTGGTTCTAGGGCTTTTGGGCTCAGATTCAAACTTACACCATTAACCCCTTAGCTCTCCTTTCCTAGGCTTTTGGACTTAGACTGAATTGCACCACAGGCTTTCATGGTTCTCCAGCTAGCAGACAGCACATCATGGGACTTCTCAGCCTCCATAACTGTGTGAGCCAATTCCTATAATAAATCTCCATACACACATACATATATATAAACTAATGGTTCTGTTTCTCTGGGAAACCCAAGGAATCAGAAAAGATGAGGATTTTCCAAGATGGCTTGGAAAATGTGCATGGTCTGGGGAATACAAGGTTCCAGGTCTTAATAACAAATTTAACTGGAATTTAAGTCAGGGTTCTTGTGACTCACTCACATAGAGAAACAGTCCAGAAAAAAAAGGAAAAAAAAAGTGAATTTATGGTACCTCACTTTTATCTTCAGTTTTAAAAATAAAACACGAAGGGGAGAAGTACATTCAGAATGCACAAGAAATATCTTAAAAATCCTTTCTCCTCACATGGATGGCAGCTGCTCTCCAAAATTTCATGTCTCACACCCTTTACTCCTAACCACCCAAAACTCTCTAAAGGGGAGAAGACACCTGAACTGCATTAAGTATAACTGACTGAGAGTCCCAGCTGTTGCTAAATTTGAACTGAGGTCACACCACTCAAGGGCTACTCTCAGCTGAGCAGGGACAGAAACACTTTGGCTCCAGGACTCCTCAACAACCTTGCTGAACTTTCCTTCAGCCTGCACAGTAGTCTAAGAAGCTCCCACACCTTATTTCCTCCCCTTTCTCCTTGACTGGGGTTCAGACTTGCATTGCAATCTCAGAGCACTCAGACTCTCCACCGGGTGTTTCCCCTAATTGATTTCTTTCATGTTTAACTCCCCTATTGGTAGCTTCTCTGAAGACCCAGACCAACACACTCTCCCAAATATGTGTGACTTCTTCCAAATTTACTCCTTCCTTCCACTGCACCCCTTCTTTCTGACAGTGGTCACTGACTAGGATAGAATTGCTAGATCAGAGTGACTCTTGTCTCAAAATGGAGCAAAAAATCAAACATCAACCCTGCAAGAGGGCCTACAAACAGCAAAACATCCCAGAATATGGGATTCTAGAAGGCAATTACTAGTTCAACCCCCCCCTCCTTACCCATCCACCCCAGGCTGGGCCTAGAATCTGAGGTGGGAGGAATAATATTATAGAACTATATATGGAGCACCCATAAGTAGGGCACTAAGACAGTGAGGAAGAAAAATGGCAGGAGGGGGAAGAAGAAAGGGAAGCAGAGAGAACTAGCTGGAGGGAGCACTAAATTCATTTTAATAGTCGTTTATGGATCCCTCCTGTGTTGGGCTTTCTGCTATGCACTGGTTATTCAAAGTTAAATAAGAAAAAAATCCTTGTTTCCCCGAGGAACCAATACTTACCCTAATCCAGGCAGAGAGGGGATCAGGGTAGACTGACTTGAGATGTTACCTGAGCAAGGTATCATAGGTGTAAAAGAGGATGAACAGGTGTAGGAGAAAACCCCCAGAGCCACACACAATTGCCTATTTGCTAGCTCAATTCAATTCCACAAATACATCCTGAAAGCCTCCTATGTGTTGGAACTTGTTCCAGTTGCAGGGGCCACAGTAGTCAGTAAGCCAGCCATGGCCCCTGCCCTCTGGCTTGGAAATCTAGCTGGGGAGAGAGCTAAGCAACCTTAACATGGTGTGAGATGTGCTGTAGGAGAGGATCTATCTACAAAGCACTTTAGGACAAAAGAGTCCCACTGCCCCCAGCCCAAATCAAGTCCCAATTTCTGAACATGGTAAAATTCTTCAATCTAAGTCCATTATTGCTTTCCAGTCTCATTTACCATGGTTCCTCCAAAAGCTGGAGACACAATTGTGTGTGTGTGCAAATCTGAACATGCCAGGCCTTTGCTCACACTGCTCATGTTCCCTGGCATACAGTTACCTTCTCAGAGATACTCTCCTTGACACACCCAGCCTTGCCCAAATTCTCCCCCGTGCTACCAGGTCAGTCCCTTGTCCTTAAATGCAGGGACCCAAATGCAGCTCCAAGAATACTCACTATGGAGTCAGACAGATGCAGGTGGGCTTTGTCCAGCTGCATGACTTCAGGCCTTGGACCCTTGGCTTTCCTGAATAACTACGTGAATGATTCCTAGGCCAGGAAGCATAAGTACTGGTGGTTAGTTCTCAGCACATAGTAGATGCTCAAAAATGTTTGCTGAATTGAATTGTATTAACATTAAAGTCCCAGGCCAGAGTTTAGACTTTACGAAGGTCCTGGCTATGAGCTGGAGCTCAAGGGGTTAATGATCAACTTTAGCAGTTTTCTGTGGCTAAAAATGTGAAATGCACATCTTGTTCTTTGCCTTGAAAACCTACCTGTTTGCTGGGGAAACATGAACAAGCTCTCAACAGTTCAGTTCTAAATCTCCTGAGAAGTGATTGTCAGACTTTAGAAAAGCATCAAAATCATCTAGGAGCCATTTGTTGAAAGACTGCTGGCTGCACCCACAGAATTTTAATTCAGTAGGTCTGGCGTGGAGTCTGAGAATTTGAAGTTTGCATTTCCAGCTCTCTCCTGGGTGATGCTGAAGCTGCTGGGCTCACACTTTGAGAACCACTCACTGGAGGTTAAGAGCCCCGTGTTCAGGAGATGGCACACAGCATATCTCTGTTTAAATCCTGGCTCCACCACATCTTTAGCCTTGATCAAATCACAAGACCTTTCTGTATTTCATTTACTTCATCTGTGAAATGAGGATAATAAGCTAATACAATTAAGTGCTTAAAGCCACACGTGGTCCACCGTTCAAATGTTAACCATTATCTACTTATTTCCTGGAGCAAGTGAGATGAGAAAACAAGAGGTCTAGGTAGTCAGAGAAGACAAGGACCACGGTCATCTTCTGTGTGTAGCCAGGTGGGTAGAAGATCACAGGACCGCTGCGCGTTCCCTGGAGGACGCTGCGGGGCGGCCTGGGATCTGCAATCCTAAGGCCGTCCTCCCCAGCGCGCTCAGCATTCCAGCCCAGACTCCCTGCGTCCCGCCGACGTTGCGCAGGCGCAGACCCCGCTACGTTAACGCTTGACGCGCTTGCGCACTCAGGTGCGTTGGTTGGGGGCGCGCCGGCAGGACAAATATGGCGGCGGCAATACGCGTGGCGGCGGCTGGAGCAAGGCTCAGCTATGGGGTGACCGGTCTCCGTGTCGCGGTCCGCAGCCTGTGCAGCCAGCCCGTCTCCATAAACGAGCGTATAGAGGAAAAGCGCCGCGCCGCGCTGATGGGAGGGGGCCAGCGTCGTATTGAAGCGCAGCACAAGCGAGTAAGTCCGGAGGCGACCGAGGCCGTCCCGCCCCGGCGTTCGCGACCTATCACAGCGTGTCCGGCTCGCGGCGCCCACCGCCTCGCAGCCAATCCGCGCAAAGCTGGGGAGGGGCGGGGCGAGAATGTTCACCTTGAGAACTTGCTGCCTTCGCCCAGGAGGCCGGGAGCTAGAAGATAAGCACTTCTGTGCTTTACCACTTTCTGCTTTCCCTTTGGAATGTTAGGCGGACCTCACGCTCAACAGCTATAAACTTTTGGAAAAGTTACTAATCTTTAGTAGGAGTCAGTTGATTCTAAACAGAAGATAGTAATAAGTCTCTCCTCTCAATCTTATTGTTAAAATAGAAATAGTGACGCAAGGCTAGGCACTTAATTTTTTAAAAACTCTGCTTATTCTTTTCATGCCCCATGAAAATGGTTCTTGCTCCTTTATGGAAGCAGTAAAATAAAGACGTGTGGCAGGGGAAGTCACAAAGGCAAACTGTCCCATTAACCTGGGTGGGGTGTGTGGTGCATGCGGGGAACCTGTGGGGCTGTGTCCTCAGAATACCCCTCAGCTGAGCCCTTTAGGGTCTCAGGGTCCCAGCGGATATCCACCTGCTGGGTAGGAAAGGCACACTTCGAAAGTAGGTGTTTTTTCTGGGAGTGTTCATGTTAGTTTGTATGGCTGGAGTGAGCCGCTGAGGCACCACCACCCAGCGCCCAGGTGTTCAAGGAGAAACGCCGGGTGGGCCATTTAGCAGCAGAGGAAACTGAGGCAGATCAGTTGGTTGTCTGAGACTTGAAACTAGACTCGCTGCATTCCCCACACGTGTGTGAGTCTGGACGGATTTGCTGGATGAGTTAAATAACCAACCTGGAAAGTGCAGAAGTGAAATTCTTAGAGGTGGAGGGCACTGGAAGCACAACTCACAAGTGTGGGGGAAGTGACTAGGGTGAGAGCCTGGGGTCTTCAGTGAGGAGATTTGAACCAGCCCTTTAAGTCTAAATTGAGCATTGATTTAGATGTTGTCAATTCCCTATTTGACAAGGGCCTAAAGGTGACAGTTTCTTTTGACTTTTGGGGATGAGATGTAAATTTGGTTGATAGTGTGTGGTGGTGCCAGGAGTGCTTTCCCTCCCTCCCCAGAAGTGGCTCTGCCTGGGGTGAGGGAAATTTTAGATCATCCTCTGGAAAGGCCAGTCATTGCTCCCCTGGACTCTTTCTGTTGGAGCCCTTGCTCAATTCCTCCCTGGAACATCACCCATCCTTCCCAGCAGGCAGAATCCTAATGGGTTTAGATGTAGCTTCTAGAAGCTGTTTTTCTTTTGCCAGAGCAGACTTAGTCAGGAGCCAACTTGATTTAAATCCCCACTCCAGCCCCCCCCTTTTTTAAAACAGTTTTTGGACTACTTTCTTTCTTAGGATAGATTTCCAGAAATGGAATTACTGGGTCAAAAGATATGAATATTTTAACACTCTGATATATATTGCCAAATTGCTTTCCTGAAAACTTGTTCGACTTTACACAACAGTGTGTAGGATTGCCTGTTTGTTTTAATATGACCTCATTGGCTTTAGCTACTTTTTTTAAAAAAATATATCTTTATTGATTTCAGAGAGAGGAAAGGAGAGGGAGACAGACAGAAACATCAATGATGACAGTTATTGATCGGCTGTAGCCTGCAACCCGGGCATGTGCCCTGACCGGGAATTGAACCCCGATCACCTGGATCCTAGGTTGACGCTCAACCACTGAGCCACACCCGGCTGGGCTTTAGCTACTTTTTTAAGGGAAAAAATAGAGCCAATTTGAGGTGTTTCTTGGTGGAGAGAGTGGACATGGATGTTTGGCTTGGTCTAAAGACTTGGGAGCCTAAGCAATTGATGCTCTTGATAGGTTGAGGGCTCCAACCTCATCCCCTCTAAGAAACATTTTTTTAAATTCCTCTCAAGTGAGTTCTTTAGCACTCTCTGCCCCACTCCATTTTTCAGCCACTCACTGCTGTGGGGTTTCTGATTGGTAACATCACTGTCAGGAGTAAAGTCCCTACACAGGGCCCCCAAGGTAGATTAGTAGGAGAAGCCCATAAAGGATGCAGGAGAAGAATCAGGAAGTAGTCTTGGAAGTGTCCTTGGGGCTGGACCCTAGTGATGGGTGTTTCTGTGGGGTTCCCTAGAAGAAGCCTGTGAATGTGAGGGTGTAGCTTCAGACCCTTCACGAAGCCTGCTTTAGTTTTCTCCCTCCTGTTTCTCCATTCTTTTTATTATTGTTCTTTAGGTCTACAGTAAATGTTTGTGGAACTAGTTATCTTGTTCCAGGGTCAGGCTCTCCTTACCCCCACTTCCCCTCTCTACCTTTTCCACCTTTTCCACCTTCTAATTACTCATTTGCCTTCCACAGTTGGTGGCTCCTGGAGTACCCTACCTACTCTGATTTTTGACTAGGTGAAGTCTACTGATAATACCTGTCTCTTGGACAGGTTGATAGAATACAGGCTTTCACGTGGGGTGAAGAGGCAAAACCTGTTCTCCTGGTCCTCCTGTGAGCATTCCTTGCTTACTGACTTTGTCTGTGATGACAACACTGAATGATTTTTGTTGCATTTTAGGGAAAGCTAACAGCCAGAGAACGGATCAGTCTCTTGCTGGACCCTGACAGTTTTGTTGAGAGCGACATGTTTGTGGAACACAGATGTGCAGATTTTGGAATGGCTGCTGATAAGAATAAGGTATCTCTTCATGATGATGTTGTGAACCTCCAAATTGTACTTTCCTGCTGTGGCCCTGCTGGCCTACCCACTAGACCATCAATTTTCAACCTTTTTCATCTCATGGCACACATAAACTAATTACTAAAATTCTGTGGCACACCAAAAAATATATTTTTTACCAATCTGACACACACAAAAAAGGTATAAATTTGATTCAGTCACACCAGACGGCTATTGTGTTGGCTTTTGTCATCTCTTTTATTTGACAATCTAAGGGAAAAGAGGTCAGGTATTGCATGTTATAAAAGTTCTGGCTGCATACCAGTTGAAAATCACTGCACTAGACTAATGAAATTCTTCTGGGACTCAGGATATATTGAAACATTTTCATGTTTGGGGCCCTGGAATTGTAAGAGAGGCACTACTGTGGCCTCCAGGTCCCCCACTTACCTTTGTCTGCAGATGAAGGAATGTGAGTGGGCTGCTCATATACCTTGTGCAGTGGGACTCTGGCTCAGTTCCCAAGACTCTGGTTGTGGGTTCAGAGTTCTCGCAGGTGTAGAATGACAAACTTGGAAGGAAAGGTGAGAAAGTCTTTTAGCTGTGTTCTGGCCTGTCTAGGCATCAGAGACCCCTAAAGACTGACCCATTGCCTCTTTGACACACTAAGTTTATGCCTTGGAGTTTTTGAGGTCAGAATCACTCACACTGCTTCTTTCAGTTGGGTGTTCTCTGTGAGTGTTGCTGAGTTCTTTGGACTCACTTTGGTCGGTTTTCTTCAGGTTTACATATATGCTGTTTGTGACCAAAGATGTGTAAACTTGGCACCAAACCAGCTGGCTCCATTTGGGCCATTATGGGCCACACAGTGATTGCCGGGATTTCAAACAAAATGATAGGTTTGCCTTTCTAACATTTGTGGGTGGGGTGTGGGGTTTTGTAGAAGTTGCCATGTTTTTTTATATGTCCGTTTCCTTCCTGTGAGCCTTTGATAGTGACAACCCTAGAGAGTCTCTTGACTGTTCTGCTTTTCGGAAGGAGATGAGGCCTAAGACTGCAGCACCCTTCATTTCTATTAAAGCAGTAGCCCAGTGCTTGCTGTTGCAGATCTGAGGGGGGAGGGAGATTTCTTCGTGTTCTAATTCATATTGAATTTTAAACAATTTGGGGTGTTTTCCTGGGGTGGGCATCTTTCATTGGGGCATAATTGCTAAATTTTTAAAAAGAAATGTTTGTGTTTTGAACCTTTATTTTATTATTTTTCTGGTAGTTTCCTGGAGACAGTGTGGTCACTGGACGGGGCCGAATAAATGGAAGATTGGTTTACGTCTTCAGTCAGGTATTTCATAACTCCAATAGGTGGAGCTTTCCTTGAGGGCAGAGCCAGGAGCAAAATATGTGAGAAGGAAACAGCTGTGGGGAATGAAAAACTTGCATGTAGCTTGGGGCAGATGTGGGATTTACTTTCTCTTTTTCAGCGCATGTGTCTGCAATATTATGCTATGTGTTTTTTCTTAGGGAGACAGAATCCCTAGTCTGTTTGGGGGAGGATCACAGGGCAGTAATGCTGTGAGTCTTGGCAGGCTGATTGTGTGCCTGGAGGGCAGCTATGTCCTGGGCAGGGTGTGTGGACCTGAGAGACCTTGATGCAGCTTGGGCAGAGGGGACTTGACTCTCAGAACCACGGACCCCTGAATTTTTGGTTTTCATGAAAGTGTTCAAACATGTTTTATCAAGCTGAATCAAAACAGATACAGTTTCTTCACACTGAGACCATAGGAGAATGTAGTAGACAGAATAATGGCCCCCAAAGATGTCCAAGTCCTAATCCCTGAAACCTATGAATATGTTACCTTACATGGAAAGGGGAATTAAGCTTGTAGGTAGAATTAATATTGTTAATAAGCTCACCTTAAAATAGAGTAGCCTGGGTTAGGCCCAATGTAATCACAAGCGTCCTTAAAAGTGGAAGAAAGAGGCAAAGGAGATGTGAGAAGGACTTGACCTGCCATTACTGGCTTAGAAGATGCAGGAAGGGGGGTCACGAGCAAAGGAGTATGGAAGATCTCAAAAGCTGGAAAAGGCAAGAAAACAGATTATTCCTTGGAACCTCCAGAAAGGAGCATAGCGCTGCTAGCCTTGATTTTAACCCAGTAAGACCCATGTAGGACTTTTAAATTACAGAACTGTAAGGTAATACATTTATGTTGTTTCAAGCCACTGAATTTATGGTAATTTGTTACAGCAGCAACAAATTGTATTAGAAAACTAACACAAAGAACATGTTGTTGCTATTTTGGGTTTGATTTTTCCCCCTCTTCTGAGAGGTGGAAATAAACATACATACATATTTATTAGACCTACAGTTACAGAATTTGTTTAGAAACCTAAAATGTTTTCTGAGTTTAATATTAAAATAATTATGCTTGGCTAATTTTGAATTTATTGTATTTAGACAATGCTCATTTGCTAATTGAGTTAACTTTGAAATGTTTTGAAACTGTTATAAGTGGGTCTATCAAATACTTAACTAGAAGGAATTCTCTCTTTGTGTGTGTGTGTAATTTACGAGAGCTAGGCAAAAACTTGTACAGAAGGAACAATTAATAAGATAGCTCGAGCCCTGGCTGGTTTGGCTCAGTGGTTAGGGTGTCGGCCCTCGGACTGAAGGACCCCAGGTTTGATTCCAGCCGAGAGCACGTACCTCCTTTGCAGGCTCGGCCCTAATCGGGGCTCGTGCAGGGGCCAACCAATAGATGTGTCTCTCTCACATCGATGTTTCTCTCTCTCTCTTCTACTCTCTCTGACAAGCAATGGAAAAAATATCCTCGGGTGATGATAAAAAAAAAAAAAAAAGATAAAAATTTACCTAAGCAGCACATTTGAGCACCTCTTATGCCCATGAGGTAAGGAGGGGAGTTGGGGCTGGTGGTAGTGACTGAGACAGTTCTTCCTCTGAATAAGCTAATCATTTTTTAGATTGAATGGGCCTGAACAGAATCCATTGCAGTACAGATAGGGTGAGAGAGGTTCTGGGCAGGTGTTATGGGCTCAGGACAAGGGAAGCTCACATCTAGGATTGAGAAAAGTTTTAGGGAAAATGGAACATTTGAAATAGGCCCTGAAGGATACTGAGGGTGGGGAGTGATCCTCAAAATGTTAATATTGTTACTGAAAAAGGGACATGGCCCTTAGCGAGTCTGCCTAGGGCCAGCCAGTAGCATGTGGGTTCTTGACTTCATGCAGGAAAGGTTTCACAGTATGAGTCCAGGTGATTTTGAGAAGACGTTTATTAAAGCTGGATACAGGGAAACAGGAAGAGTTTAGGTTAGAAGAAGCAACCGGAGAGCCTAGGCAGGGCTGCTTTGGCTCTCTAGAAACGTTATAGGAAAGAAATGGACCTAGGCAGGGCTGCTTTGGTTCACTGAGAAGTCAGAGAAAAGGGTACCTTGGTAGACAGTTAAGGGGTTTACCCATGACGAGCTACTGTTGCCCATTGCTCTCCTGGTTGCAAGTATCTTGGGGACCCATTGAGTTTAGGAGATGCATGCCTGTTGGAGAAGAAGAGGGGAAAGGGAAAAGTGGGGGTGTGCTCCAGGGAGGGAGAGAGGGTGCTGGGACCTTCTTTTTGAGGCTTTTAAAGGCTAGGAGTTTAGGGGCGGCCTTAGGGAAGGATCTCAGTACAATATTCATCAGCTCTTCCAGGTGTATCCTTTCAGGGTCATGGTCTCCACTGATTGGTCAGTGTCAGGCAGGGAGTCATTAGTCATTGCACTTGGTGGTCCTGGCGTGCCTACCTAGTTTTGCTGCTTTTCTGGGCCTGGGGCTGAAATACAATTGAGGCCTAGATGTTATCTCTAGAGAGGTGACCTTCTGTATCTGGCTGTAAATTACTGGGCCAGTTTTGTTCGGCTATCTGTCTCGGTTTCTCCATTCCACTTGCTAAGGAATTTTCCTAGTCTCTTACTATCCTGCCTCAATATCTGTAGGCACTTTTTCTGGGGAGGATATTTTTCCATTGCTTTTCAGAGAGAGTGGAAGGGGGGGAGAGAGAGAGAGAGAGAGAAAGAAAAATCGATGTGAGAGAGACACATTGATTGGCTGCCTCATGCCCACACCCCGACTGGGGCTGGGGATCCAGCCTGCAATTAAGGTATGTGCCCTTGGCTGGAATCTAACCCAGGACCCTTCAGTCTGAGGGCCAACGCTCTAACCACTGAGCCAAACTGGCTAGGGCAGGAGCTTCTGTTTTTCCAGAGGAACAGCCTCAGTCCCTTGCCTGATAATTGGCTGTAGGGGTGTGTTTTGGGGGGAGGGGAGTAGGAAGAAAGGAGGAGCTAGTGCTGGTTCATCATTTAGTGTATAAGTTCCTAATCTTGCCTATTTTCAGCTTCACCTTTTTCTTCTTTTGCTGCTGGTGATTGTGAGTGCAGAGAGGAAGAGAGGGAGAGGAAACATCGATTGGTTGCCTCCCGTATAAGCCCTGACCAAGGATTGAACCCAAAATCTAGGTGTGTGCCCTGACTGGGAATTGAACCCAGAACCTTTATGGTGCATGGGATGACGCTCCAACCAACTGACCCACCTGGCCAGAGCCCTCTCTGGTTAAGTTTCTTTAGAGAATAAAGCTTTCTCCTCTCAAAGTGAAGGAGAGGCCCTGTGGGGTCTAACTGCTCCTAACACAGACTTTGTATTAATTTGCTTTTCTCCCTCCACACCCTTGCCCCTTTTCAGGGTTCCTGGGTTGTCCCTTCCTTGTGGTTTCTCCCTCTGCAGGTGCATAGCCTTTTATTTGCTCCCAGTCAGATATTCTTGTGCTTTCAATTCTCCTCAGATTTGTTCAGTTTCTTTTCTGCTGCTGTTTCCTCTTCCTTTTTTGGCCCTCATGTGCTGAATCTGTTTTTAATTCCCCACTGTCTTTTGGGGGGTGGGGTTTAGGAAGGAGGTCATTTCTACAGGAAGCCCTTCGCATGAAAATCCATAAGCAAGAGGAAGCAGTAAGGGCTCTGATTTACTTTTCACCTCCCTTGTCAAAACAGCAAATGTTTCCTAGTAGTAGAGATGCCTGTTTGACAACCCATAGAATCTGATTTTTGTTAATTCTGTATGAAAAGTTTTTCCTTTCTTCAGAGCTACAAATCATTTTTGTAGAACAAAGACTAGGTCTTTTGGTCTTGACAATAGATGAACTCCCTTAAAGAGAGTCACTATTCTGTGAAATAATTTATAAATCAGATGTAAACATTTTTTTTAACTTCTGAAAATCCTTTAAAAACTATGAATTTTCTGTTTCCTCCTCCTACTGGCTCTTCATCCCTGGCTATAGTCACTAATATAGTCACTATATTTGTTGATTTGTGTGTTTGTTTGTTTTTTTGTTTCTTTTTAGGATTTTACAGTTTTTGGAGGTAGTTTGTCAGGAGCACATGCCCAAAAGATCTGCAAAGTAAGTATTTAATAGTAACAACAAACACAGTACTTTCCTTAGTCACATAGTGCATATTGAGTATCTTTGGGGTGCAAGACTCTGAGCTGAGTATGTGGGGTGGGACAGAGGTATGCAAGATGTGCTACCTTTAGTACAGGGCAGGAGTTCTTAACATTTTTTGTACTATGGACCTCTTTGGCAGGCTGGTGAAGCCTGGACTCACATTTTTTTACATGCTTAGAATAAAATATGTAGGACTACAAAGGATTAAAAATATTTTTTAAAAACAGCATATTTGTTGTATATGTGCTTTATTAGTGCATTGAATAACAAGATTTAGCAGTGGATCTAAAGTGCTCTAATTTCAAGTGGGCATGAATGAAAATGGTATTTCAAGATATATGCAACAACTTTAACATGGCACAGAAATATATGTGGCCGCTATTAATGGCAAAGCCACAGGTATTTCTAATAATTATGTGGTTCTTGGTCTGTATTCATAATTGAAGGAAATACTAAAGATCAGATAGAGTTAATAAAGATACAGATGTACATTTTTTCCCCCCATTCAATTTCATTGGCTCTCTAAATTCTATTCACAGATGCCTTGGGGTTCTGAGGACCCCAGGTAAAGAACCCACAGTCTCGGTGGAGAGACCAGGTGCTAAAAGATAAAGAGCAGTGCAAGGATTACATGATGGTATTTTAATAACAATGCTTGAGATGAGATGCTCTGGGGATGAATAAAAGTGTAGATAATATTTGGAGAATTCTGGAGTTAAAAGTAGAGTTGACTAGTAGTAGCTAGGCTGGGCTTTCCTGTGTAATGGAACACCTGGGTTGTAGTCACGGTCCTGTCATTTATTACTCCTGAGACCTTGGGCCTATCACTTAACTTTTTTTTTTTTTTAATGTTTTTATTGATTTCAGAGAGAGAAAGGGAGAGGGAGAGAGAGAGAAACATCAGTGATGAGAGAGAGCCATTGATAGGCTGCCTCCTGCATACCCTCCACTGGGGATTGAGCCTGAAACCCGGGCATAAGCCCTGGCCAGGAATCACTGTGACCCCCTCGTTCACAGGTCGATGCTTAACCACTGAGCCATGCAGGCTGGCCCATCACTTACCTTTTAAACCTTCTAATTTTTCTCTTTTACTGCTTCTGTTATGATTGTTAACTGAGATCATGGAAGTCAAAATGCTTTGTAAACTGTCAAGGGCTGTTATGAATATTGCTCATTAGGCTGTCAGCTACTGACCCATGAGGAAAATCTGTCTCAGAAGTAAAAGCAGGGCTGGGCCAGTCCTCAGGTTAACAGATGAGTCCACATTTACTTTCATGAAAATACTTCTTTGCCATTCTGTCTATCTGTTCTTTCAAAAGAGTAACTGGGAGCACAACTGGCTGCTAAAACATATTACAGTCATGTGCCGCTTAACAATGGGGATATGTTCTGAGAAATGCATTGTTAGGCGGTTTTGTCGTTGTGCGAACATCAGAGTGTTCTTACATAAATCCAGATGGCATAGCCTACCACACACCTAGGCTATATGGAATAACCTATTCCATCTAGGCTACAAACCTGTACAGCATGTTAATGTACAAAACAATGTGAGATTAAATCAAGCACAAGAGAAAGGTGTACTATAGTAAATACATAAGCCGGTGACGTGGTTGTCACTAACAAGTATCAGGTACTGTACCTGCTATACTTTTTTATAGGACTGGCAGCTCTAGGTTTGTTTACACTAGCATCACCACAAACACATGAGTAATGCATTGTGCTATCCGATTACGACAACTATAACATCACTAGGCAATAGGAATTTTTCAACTTCATTACAATCTTATGGGACCACTATTGTATATGTGGTCCATCACTGACTAAATGTTATGTGTGCATAGCTATAGCCTGGGCCTGTGGCTCTAGAAATGGTCATGAGCAGTCTTATCCCCTGCCGATGGGAAGTGCTTTGGCTCTCAGATGTTTGGGCGTCTTTAGCCCTTTAAATACCTGGTTCTCTGTCTTCCATGAAGGTACCGAATCATCATGGGGAATGAAGCCAGTGTTACTGTTCTTGAAAAGTGCTCTCAGAACATTGTACAGTAAACACTGTGGTGCTTTGTAAATGCTGTTTTTGATAACAGGATCAGTTGTCTCACAAAAGATCTCTCTACTCTCTCAGATCATGGACCAGGCCATGACAGTGGGAGCTCCAGTGATTGGGCTGAATGACTCTGGGGGAGCACGGATCCAAGAGGGAGTAGAGTCTTTGGCTGGCTATGCAGACATCTTTCTGGTGAGAAACCTGTCTATAGAGAATAGAGAGTGAAAAAGTACAGGGCTTAGTTCTCTAAACTATGTCCTGGTCAGAGCTTTTCTATCTCATTGTTTTCTGCCCTATTGTACCTTTTCTGTGGCTTCTTTCTGTGTCACCAGGAATAGCATGAAGGGTGGCTGAAAGAGAGTAGGTGGGGAGGTTTTTAAAATTTTTTTCCTATAGAGAGGCCCTCATAGGGGGAAAACAAAATTCAAGATCATTCATAAGCGAAAGTTGCTAAAATATTTTTTTTCCTCAAAAGCAAGGGTGAGAGAATAAGGTGCAGATTAACTGATTTGCTGGAATTAGGAATTTAAAACAATGCAGTGCTTTTTATTTTTTGATTAAAACATAACAAGATCATTATACAAAGTTCAAGCTGTAGTACAAAGAAAGAAATCACCCCAAATCCTACCATTTAGAAATATTTGGTGAACATCATTTCAGATATCTTTTTGTTTACACAGACTAAATTAAAGAGAAAGAAATGAAAAGAAACACACAAAAATTAACTGTTTTTTGAAGTAGGAAGTATATTGTGAGAGATATAGTAAGGAAGATTGGGGTGAGGGAGAGAGATACTGCCAGATGGAAACTTGAGAAAAGGGACAGATCATCATTTCCAGGGAGGGGAGGAAAGAGAGAGAGGAAGGAAGGAGACAGGCAGACATTGTTTATAATCAGGGCAGCTGTTCTTGTCATCCCCTGGCCTGCAGGCTTATGAGGGTTTTTATCCTTGGCTACTGCCCTTTGGAATCAGTCAGAAAAATGTGTGTTTACTTTGTGTAAGATACTCTGCGAGTTGTGGGAGCACTTGTGTTAGTTGAGAAGCCACATTGTAGATCTTAAACCTAGTTTTTAATCTTTAAACTTGAGCTCCAGGGATAACCCACTGGGGAGAATTAGTTTTTTGGGTGGCTTGGCTGTAACAGTTTAGGCCTGGAAGGTCCACTTTGGCCCCTGGCCTGGAAGTCATGCCTGTGTTAGAAACGAGGGAAAGAAAGAATGGCCCTAAGAGAAGTGGCAGTAAACCGTCACATTTTAGAGCTGGATTGGATTTTAGAATATCATCTAGACTAACTCACCTGGGGCAGTTGGGTTTTCTTTTGTTTTCAGGGGATAGGCTTTAGTGACGTCAAGATCTGCATTGCTTAATTAATAATTTGCTAGTGCTGCTTATTATAACTTCACCTCCACCCTCTTCTTCCTGCCTGTACTGTTATTTCTGTTACTTTCTTGTAACTTCATTTTGATATAATTTCAAACTTTATAGAAATATTGCAAAAAGTATGAGGCATTCCCATATGTCCATTACCCAGATTTACCCGTTGTTTACATTTTGCCCATTTGCTCTATCATTCTCTCTCCATATGGACATATTTGTATGTTATATTTTTCTGAAACATTTGGGAGTAAGTTGGAGATTGTGCCTCCTTTATCTCTTAAATCCTTCATTGTGTATTTCTTAAGAAAGCACATTTTCTTATTTAACCAGGGTATAATAATATAAATCAGGAAACTTAACATTGATTCATCAATATTATTCTTATCCATGGTCCTTATTCAGATTTCATCAAATGATCCTAATAAAGCTCTCTATAACTTTTTTCACCCTCACTGTCTAGGAACCAATCCAGGATCAAGTGCTGCCTTTAGTTGTCATATCTCTTTAATATTCTTTAACCTGGAGCAGTTTTTCAGTTATTTTTGGACTCCATGACTTTGACGTTTTAAAAAAACAGATTAATTGAGATATAATTTACAAATCATAAAGTCAGTCCATTGTAAGCATACAATTCAATGATTTTTAATAAATTTATAGAGTTGTATAACCCTCACCACAATCCAGTTTCAGAACCTTTCCCTCCAAAAAGGTCCCTCCTGCCTGTTTGCAGTCAATGCCTGCCCAGCTGAAGGCAAACACTGATCAGCTTTCTCTCGCTACAGTTTTTGTGTCTGACTCTTTTCATTTAAAATGTTTTTTGAGGTTCAGTCATATTGTACTGTGTATTGGTGGTTCATTTCTTTTTATTGATGAATAATATTTTATATGGATATAATTATCAGGGAAATGTAAATCAAAACCACAATGAGATACCACTTCACACCTTCAGAATGGCTTGGCTATTAAGAATTCAACAGGGGGAGTGTTGGGAGGAGGTAAGGGAATTGAGCAAAAAAAAAGAAAGAACTCATGGACATGGACAACAGTGTGGTGATTGCGGTGGGGGAAAGGGATGGGTGGAGGTGGAAGAGGGCAGAGGGGATAAATGATGATAAAAAGCAAAAAAGAATTGAACAAATAAGTGTTGGCAACGATGTAAAGAAAAAGGAACCCTCATGTACAATAGGGATTATAAATTGGTGTAGTCACTAGGGAAAATAGTTGAAGATTCCTCAAAAATTTAAAACTAGAACTATCATAGGACCTAGGAGTTCCATTTCTGGATATTTATCTTCAGAAAACAAAAACATTAATTCAAAAGGATATATGCACCTCTATGTTTATTGCTGCAGAAAACAAAAACACTAGTTCAAAAAGATATATGTACCTCTATGTTTATTTTAGCATTATTTACAATAGCCAAGATATGGAAGCAACCTAGGTATTCATCGATAGATGAATGAAGATGTGAGATACACACACACACACACACACAGGAATATTGTATTAATATTCCACCAATAAAAAAGAATGAAATCTTGCCATTTGTGACATGTATGGACCTAGTGGGTATTATGCTAAGTGAAATAAGTCAGACAAGAAGGACAAATATGATCTCATGTGAAATCTTAAAAAACTAAGCAAATGAACAAACAAAGCAAAAAGACTTGTAGAAACAGAAAAAATTGATAGTTGCCAGAGGGAAAGGGAGTAGGGGCATTGGCAAAAAAAGGTGAAGAGGGATAATATAAATACATGTTTGGTAGAATTCACTAGTGAAAAGGAAGGAGCTCCAAGGAGCTGTACAAAATGAAAACTTTTATATACAGAAGGGAACAGGAACAAAGAAGTTATATTAGGCCAAAAAGCCGATCGATTATGGCAAGGTTACTTTCCTTTAGGGGGTGGCAGGGATCCATCAGTCAGATTACTTAACTAGTGCTGGTCATGTGGGGGGGAAAAAAGTAAAAGTGTTCTAAAAGTCACTGGACAAGCTTACAAGAAGATAAACTTGAGTTGATGGTATAAATAATAAAGCGAGAATCAAATACTATAAATGATAAATTAAAAAGGGCCTTTGGGATGAGGAGGTTGGCAGGATAGAAAAATGTGTTACCAGTACAATGAAGGAGGCATACCAGCTCTCTATGGACAGTTGCATTATAATCATATACTTTATTATTCAAGAATACATGTGATTCCAAATTTATACAATGCGATGATGGTACTTTCCAAACCAAAAAATGCTGCTGTGAATATTTGTGTAGAACTCTGTGTGGACATTATGTTTTCATTACCCTTGAGTATAGATACTTGAGGGTGGATTATTTTTAAAAAAAATATTTTTCAATTACAGTTGAAAAATACAATATTATACTAGTTTCGGGTATACAATACAGTGATTAAACATTTATATACCTTATGAAGTGATCACCTCAGTAAGTCTGGTACCCATACATAGTTATTACAATATTATTGACTATATTCTGTATGCTATACTTTATATCCCCATGACTATTTTTATAACTGACAATTTGTTCTTAATTCCTTTCACCCTTTTCACCCATTTCTCCAGCTCCCTAAGAGTGCATATCTTATAAGATGTGGGTCTTATAAATATATAACTTTTTAAGAAACCAAAATGAATGTACCATTTTACATTACCACAAACAATGTATTGAGCATTTCATATTCTCTGCAACCTTGCCAACACTTAGTATTGTCAGTCTTTTTTATTTTGTAAAGTCCTACAGTCTTGTTCTTCTTAAAAACTGTTTTGACTATTCTGGATCCTTTACATTTCCATATAAAATTCTTCATCAGTGTCAACTATACAGAAATGCTTGACGAAATTTGATAAAAACTATATTGAGTCAGTAGATCAATTTTGCAGAAATTTATATTTTAACATTTTGAGTTTTCTACTCCATGTCGATGGAATGTTTCTCCATTTATTTAGGTCATCTTTAATTTATATCAACAATATTTTATAATTTTTAGCATGCATGTTTTACACTTTTTATTTATACCTAAGCATTTTATAATTTTTTAATGCTATTGTGAATGAAATTGTTTTAATTTCCTTTTGGGTTGCTCTTTGCAAGTGTGTAGAAACACAATTGACCCTTTAGTCCAAGGACTGACCCTCTAATCAGAGAGCTAAACCTTTGGCTAGGTCCAGGTCATGTTTCTTAATCTATTCAGTCATCCCTATGTATTTTTATTGGAATATTTAATCCATTTACACTTAAAGTAATTATTGATAAGTATGTACTTATTGACATTTCGTTAATTGTTTTTTGGTTGTTTTTGTAGTTCTCTGATTCTTCTTCTCTTGATCTGTTCCCTTCTGTATATCACAGTTTCTTTATCCATTCAGTCATTGATGAATTTGTAGGTTGTTCCCATATCTTGGCTCTTAAAAATAATGTTTCAATGATCATGGTAGTGCTTATATATCTTTTCAAGTTCATGTTTTTATTTTATTCAGATAAGTACCCAGAAGTAGAATTGCTGGATCATATTGTAGTTCTATTTTTAGTGACTGTACCAGTTTACTTTCCCACCAATAGTGCACAGGGTTTCTTTGTCTCCATATCCTTGCCAACACTTGCTATTTTTAGTTTTTTTTTTTAATGATAGCCTTTCTGACAGATGTGAGGTGATATCTCATGTGGTTTTGATTTTCATTTTCCTGATGATTAGAAATGTTCAGTATCTTGTCATGTACCTGTTGGCCTTCTGAATGTCTTCTTCAGAAAAAATGTCTGGTTAGATCCTCTGCCCATTTTTTAATCTTTTTTTTTTTTTTGCTATTAAGTTGTATGAGTTATTTACATATTTTGTATATTAGCCCCTAATCAGATACATGATTTTCAGTGTTGTCTCCCATTTCATGGGTAGTCTTTTCATTACGTTGATTGTTTCCTTTGCTGTGCATAAGCTTTTTAGTTTGATATAGTCTGTAATCTCTCATATTTTTGATTTTGTTGCTTTTGCTTTTAGTGTCAGATTAAGAAAATTATTGCAAGACCTTTGTCAAGGAGCTTACCACTTAAGTTTTTTGCTAAGTGTTTTATGTTCGAGTCTTTAATTCATGTTGAGTTTATTTCTGCATATAGTGTAAGATAGTGGTCTAGTTTCATTCTTTTGCATGTGGCTGTCCAGCTTTTTTAGGACCATTTATTGACGAAGTAACCGCTTGAGCTAAAGCCGACCCATAGGTCCATTTATTGAAGACTCTCCTTTCTTCATTGTATATTCTTGGCTCCTTTGTCATTAAATAATTGACCTTATATGTATGGGTTTACTTCTGGGCACTCTATTCTGCTTCATTGATCTGTGTCTGTTTTTAATTTAATACTACATTGTTTTGATTACTATAGCTTTGTAATATATTTTGGAAACAGCTAGTGTGATGCCTCCAGGTTTCTTCTATATCAGGATTGCTTTGGCTACTTGGTTTTTTTCATAGTTTCATACAGATTTTAGGATTTCTCTGTTCTATTGTGAGAAATGCTGTTGGAATTTTGATAGGGATTGCACTGAGTCCATAGATTGGGTAGTGTGCACATTTTAACAATATTCTTCTAATCTGTGAACATGGAATTTTTTGTGTGTCTTCCATTTCTGTCATTAATTTCTCATAATTTTCAATATAAAGGTCTTTCATCCCCTTGGTGAACTTTATTCCAAGGTATTTTATTATTATTATTATTTTTGTTAATCCTCACCTGAGGATATTTTTCCCACTGCTTTTCAGAGAGCGTGGAAGGGAGGGGGAAGAGAGAAACATCAGTGTGACATTATTTTTTTTAAGCTGATGGGGCTCAGGGTAAGGAAAGAAGTTGGGGGTTGGGCAAGGAGTCATTGGGCCCTTATCTTGCCTGGATCCTCTAGCCCCACTCTTGTCTTTCCTGGGAGATAGACTGAGGCTTGACCCTTCACAACATTGTTGTCTTCATGGAGCCTTTCTGGCTCCTCCTACCTACATCTTCCCATATGCTCTGTCATGGGGTGGGCAGACCTTGAAAACTCTGAGTGAAGTAGCATCTGCCTCTTAGCCTTGCCTTATAACTGCTGAGTATCCTCTGTGGAGGTTGTGAAAGGACTCCAAATAGAAGTTAGGGCTCCAGGATAAGTGCTATTCCTGTATGTTCTGCCTAAAGTTCTCATTCATCCTTCCAGACAGCTTTGTGGAGATACGGGTGCTGAGCCTCAGGTGTGTTTGGAGCTTGGGTGAGATTGGTAGGGCTCAAGTTCTGGTGGAGTTCAAGTTCTGGTGGAGCTTTTGGGAAACTACTGCCAAGGAGGGAGAGGAGAAAGGGTATTTGCCCCAGAAAGTAATATGCCAACTATCACACTTGTTTTGGGGACAAATTGCATATGTAGTTTTGGAAGAAATTATACTGATTAGGTTTCTTGCCTCCAGGATAGAATTTCTGTGAGTAAAAGAGTAATTTTATCGTTGCCTTTATCTTTCTGCAAATAATGCCTCAAACACCTCTGTAACGGATACCTTTACCTTTCTCTTTTGGCAGAGGAATGTCATGGCATCCGGAGTTATCCCTCAGATTTCTCTGATCATGGGCCCATGTGCTGGTGGGGCTGTCTACTCCCCAGCCCTGACAGACTTCACGTTCATGGTAAAGGTAAGAAAGAAAGACCTGTTTCTCCTGCCCTTTGAGAGTTGTATAATACCTCACCTGAAGTAAAAATAATTCCTGACCCAGATCTGGGTTGTTATCTGCATTCTCATTGGCTTTCAGCTTAGTGATGATAAGGTCTTAGTGGAGAAAAGGTTTTGGCACAAAACCTGTAGCTTGTGGGGGTTCAGTGGCAGAATGCACTTGTATACTTCATTGGTGGGTGATTTTACTTGTTGATCTGAATTGCAAATGATTTTCAGGTAATCAGAGGATCCTGTTGTCTGCCCAGACAGGTGATTGTTTACTGAATCCTATTCAGAAAGGTTCTCATGGAAGTCTTTTCTATAATCTTCTTTATTAGGAAGTTGTTTCTTATGACCCACCTTTATTTCTTTGGCTGTTTGCCATTTTATTACATTTTGTCTATAATGGTAATGGTAAATCTGATCTCCAACTTCATTTTGAAAGATGCATATCTTTACTACATGGAGTGATATTTTTAAATGATTTTTAAATGAAGCCTACTTGAATTTACACATGGGTAATTACCCTTAACCTAATATCATTAAAAAATATCAGTCTTTTCCTCTTAAAATATTTTTAACAACAATGAACAGTAAATGCCAAGACAGAAAGACTGGGGGGTGGGGGAGTAGATAGTCATCAATATGAGGAGAACAGTGTAAATAGGAAACCCTTTTTTTCTCTTTAGTAGTTTTGCAATAGGAATTCAGAGGTTTAGAAAAGTGTTTACTCTTTGACCCAAGTCTTCTGTTTTTAGTGACAGATTGAAAGCAATCTAAATGTTCAGCAACAGAAGTGGGCTTTAAAAGTTGACCTGAGCACATCTCTTCCCGAACAAAGCAGAACTCCCTCACCTTTGCCCACTAAATCTGTGTGTACCTATACATACCTGGTGCTACCCCAGTTCTCTTCTCCTTCCCGCCTGGTAGGAATGGAGGTGTGGTATCCATTCCTCTGGTTAAGGCCACTCTTTCCACATACATGCACATTGCTGAATACAACTCTTTCACCTTTTCAGTGGCCTTATCCTGTCATTTCTCAAATCTCGTATACTGTCTTCAGTCTTTCCCTTGGTACTACATTCTACTCTCAGAACTTACCCATATTCAGGGCTTTCCTGTCTTCAAAACAAAGACAAAAGCCCTCCCTTAGTCTGCATCTCTCTGTGTCTATTGCCCTATTTCTATCTTTTCATCCTGTCAAAACATTTCACTTTACCTCACTGTCCCGTCAGTCCACCAAACCTGTTTCTCTAAGGTCATCAGTGACTTCTATGTCACTATAAATGCTCTGTAACTCTCATTTTCCTCACATTTTCAACAGTATTCTTTTCCTTTATCTTCCATGGTACCACATTCTGGCATCTCTGGCATTTCTTCTCAAATTTATTGCCCCACCATTTTGATTTCCATTGCCATTCCACTCTAAACTGCTTTCTCTTTTTTATTTTTCCAGCTTTATTGAGATATAATTGACATATAACATTGTGTACACTTAAGGTGTACAGCATGTTGATTTGATGTACTTACATATTACAAAATGATTAGCACCATAGCATTAGTTAGCTAACACCTTCATTACCTCACATAATTACCATTTCTTTTCTGTGGTGAGAACATTTAAGACCTACTCTCTTAGCAACTTTTGAGTATGTAGTACAGTATCGTTAACTATAGTCAGCGTGGTGTACATTAGATCCCTAGAACTTATTCATCTTATTACTGGAAATTTGTACCCTTTAACTAACATCTCCCCAGTTCCCCCAACCCCCAGCCTCTGGTAACCACCATTTGACTCTGTTTCTATGAATTCAACTTTTTTAGATTCCACATATAAGTGAGGTTATACATTATTTGTCTTTCTCTGACTTATTTCACTTAGCATATGCTAAGGGAAATGCCCTCATTGTTCATTTGTGTCATAAATGTCAGAATTTCCTTCTTTCTCATGGTGGAGTAATATTCCATTATTTGTGTTTATGTATATATGTGTCACATTTTCTTTGTCCATATGGCTATGGGTATCCAATGGAATAATATTTCTCTCTGTGTGTATGTTTGTGTCACATTTTTAATTCATTCATCTATCAGTGGACACTTAGGTTATTGCCATAGCTTGGCTATTGTGAATAATGCTGCAACAAACAAACATGGGAGTGTATCTCTTTAAGGTCCTGATTTCATTTCCTTTGGATATATACTGAGAAATAAGGTTGCTGCATTATATGATAGTTCTATTTTTATTTATTTACTTATTTTTAAATATATCTTTATTGATTTCAGAGAGAGGAAAGGAGAGTTAGAAACATCAATGATGAGAGAGTCATTGATCGGCTGTAGCCCGCAACCCGGGCATGTGCCCTGACCGAGAATCGAACCCTGATCGCCTGGATCCTAGGTCGATGCTTAACTGCTAAGCCATGCCCGGCCGGGCTGATAGTTCTATTTTTAATTTTTTGAAGAACCTCCATACCACTTTCCATAGTGGCTGTATCAATTTACAGTCCTACCAACAGTGCACAAGAGTTACCTTTTCTCCACATCAGCACCAACACTTGTTAGAATTCCTATACTTGAAAAGGTAAGAAATAACGTGTGAGGTGATACCTCATTGTGGTTTTGATTTGCATTTTCCTGATGATGAATGATGTTGAGCATCTTTTCATGTACCTGTTAGCCATTTGTATGTCATCTTTGGAAAGATTGTCTATTCAGATTTTCTGCCCATTTTTCAGTTGGATTTTTTTTTTCCTGTTGAATTGTATGAGTTCTTTATATATTTTGGATATTAACTCCTTATCGGATGAATAATTTGCTATACATATATTTTTAAATCCTCACCTAAAGATTTTTTAAAAAATTGATTTCACAGAGAAAGGAAGGGGGGGAGAGAGAGAGAAACATTTATCAGTTGCCTCCAGTACATACCCAGGGATCGAACTTGCAAACTTTTTGTGCATGGGACGATGTTTGAGAGCTGAGCCACTTGGCTGGGTTGCAAATATTTTATTAGGTTGATTGCCTTTCAATTTGTTGATTATTTCTTTTGCTGTGCAGAAGCTTTTTAGTTTTATGTAGTTCCACTTACTATATTTTGTTTTTGTTGCTTGTGCTTTTGCTATCCATAAAATTGTTGCCAAGACCAGTTTCAAGGAGTGTTTTCCTTATGTTTTCTTCTAGGAGTTTTATGGTTTCAGGTCTTTAAGTCTTTAATCTGTTTTGAATTAATTTTCCTGAGTGGTGGAAGATATGGGTCCAATTTTATTTTTCTGCATGTGGCTCTCCAGTTTTCCCACCGTCACTTATTGAAGAGACCGTCTTTTCCCCATTGGGTATTCTTGGCTTCTTTGTCAAATATTAGTGACTGTATATGTAAGGGTTTATTTGCAGGCTCTTGATTTTTGGGCTATGTCTGTTCCAGTATGTCTTATTTTTTATGCCATACTGTTTGATTAATATAGCTTTGTAGTGTAGTTTGAAGTCAGAAAGTGTGGTGCCTCCAGCTTTGTTATTCTTTCCCAGGATTGTTTTGGCTATTTGGAGTCTTTTGTGGCTTTATATAAATTTCTTATTGTTTTTTCTATGTCTGTCAAATATGCCATTGGAATTTTGATAGGAATTGCACTGAATCTAAAGATGGCTTTGGGTAGTATGGGTATTTTAACAATATTAATTCTTATCCACGAACATAAAGTCTTGTCCCATTTATTTGTGTCATCTTCAGTGTCTTTCATCAGTCTTTCATCAGTTTTCAGTATACAGATCTTTCACCTCCTTGATTAAATTTATTCCTAAGTATTCTGTTAATACTTGATGGTATTGTGAATTGACTGGTTTTCTTTATTTCTTTTTCAGATATTTTATTTTTAGTGTATAGAAATGATTTTTGGTATGCTTTCTCTTTTAATTGTATGTGTTTATCCTAAGCAATCTCATCCTCTACCTGTAGAACTTTAGTTAATACTTGCATTTTGGTGCCACCTCCTCTCTCTTGTCTTCTGCAAATAATCATCAAGCCTTTTAACCATTCTACATCTTAAATCTTCCTTGTGTTTAATGAGAATGCAATAAAAATGCTAACAGATTCTTTTTTGACAGACTAGAAAAGGTAATTAAAAGTTTATATGGGGGGCAGGGGAACACTATGCAAGCATTGATATTCCATAAAAGAAGAGTAATGAAGGGCCAGCCCTGCCACATAATAAAAATATATTATAAAACTAAAATAACTAAAACTGTTTAATGGACTTGTAAATAAATAAAGACTGGGGGAACAGAATTGAGAAATAGACCTAAGTATCTTTGGACATTTAGTTTAAGTTGAAAGGAATATTATTCTATTCAAGATCACCAGTAATGTCAGTTTATGTATCAAAGACACCAACAATTCCTGCATCATTAAGTCCAATAGACATTTCTCAGTCCTTATCTTACTTTACCTTTCAGCAGCAGTTGACCTAGCTGATCACTCCTTCCTCTTTGAAACTTCAGGGCACCATATGCTCTCTTTGTTTCTTCTTTCTGGCTCTTTTTCTCATTTCCTTAGTGATCTGATCCTGTCTCAAGACTTTAGATATCCCATTGCTGGCCGCTGGGCTGCCTGATTGCTGGAAGCATAAGGCAGTCATGGGCCCTGATGATCCACACAAGACACCCCCTCTTCCCTTGAGAAAAACCCTTTGGCCACTATGTTTGTTCATTTAGATAGAGGGAGTGTATGACAATTCAGAGAAGTCAGGGAGCTTGAAAAGGGATGAAGGAGGCATTACTTGAGAGGCATTCTATGTTGTGAGTGTCCTAGATCTTATTTTAGAACAATTTGTCAAGAAAAACCTGTTCAGATTTTTGACAAAAGGCTTTTCCTTCCATAAAATTCAGGACAGTAACCAAATCCTGACAACTCTCAAATCTATTTCTTCAGGATGGAACACTCTTTTGAACATTATACATTTAGTTGCCTGCCAACATTTCCGTTTGTGC